GCTCATGTGCAGCTTCTTCATGTGGTGCACGACGGCCGCGGCGTTGAAGGCTTGCTGGGGAGGGAGACAAAAGCCCAGTGAGCAGCTGGTGATGGCAGGACACGCTGTCCCCCCCAGTGACACCAGTGCTGCCAGCACTGGCTCTTTGGGATGGGCACATTCCTGCCACAAACAGCACCTGCCATGGGTGCAGGCTGCTGCTGTGTTTGGAGCTCACAGCTGCTTCCAGCCCAGGGAAACGGGGAACAGCTGGAAATGACCCCTCTGCTCCATGGTTGGGGTGAATCTCACTTTGGGAACATTGCTGCAAACACCCTGCAGACATGGACTGCAGGCAATCCCAGCTTTGGAGGATCCCAGAGTTTGGGTGCTCACCCCCCCAGCTCAGTGCTGGCTGACAGCAACTGGTGTTTGCTGGTGAAATGGCTCTGGGCTCCAGCAGCAGCCACTTACCCTCCATTTGCTCTTTGCAAAGTTTTTCTGGATCTGAGCGCTGACAGATGGGTAGATGTCACGGTGAAGGGCTGTATTTCCATTAATCCTGCAGATGGAAGAGAAGAAAATGGGCTCGTAGGCAGATGGCATTTGTAAGGCATTCCACATTCTGCAGGCACCGAACTGCTTTGTACGTTCAATCAGCAATAATTAAACCCAAAGGAAAAACAGCAACAAAATGTAACACAAACACACACTTCAAAGCCCGGGAAAGCTCAGGGTGGGATTTCTCCTCTGCCTCTGTTTGTGGAGGCAAATATGCACAAATTGCATCCTTAATTATTCATGGTTTGCTTTCTGTGCACACAAGAAGGAGCCAGCCTGGTGATGCGGGGGAGGCGGTGACGATAATGACGTTAACGATGTTAATGACGTTAATGACGGGGTGGGGGACACTCCTGTTCCCTGCTCCCACAGAGCACAGCGAGCACACTCAGTGACCCCCCGGAGCCCCCAGCTCACCACGGGTGCCTCAGGGCCTCCTCACAGGTGAACCTCGCGCTCGGGTTCTTCTCCAGCAGGTGCCGGATGAAGTCCTTGGCTGTTGGGAAAAGGGAAAAGCAGAGAAGGGTTATTGTCCCGTTATTGTCCCCTTATTTCAGAGCTGATCCCAGCAGAACATGGGGAATGCTGGAGGAGCAGCACAGAGGTCAGCCCCAAGGAGAGGGGTTTGTGTGGCTGCTCCAGGGGAGGTTCAGGGGGATTTGGGGAAAAATTCCTTCACTGAAAGAGTGGTCAGGCACGGGAAGGGGCTGGAGAGGGCAGTGGTGGAGTCACTGTCCCTGGAAATGCTCAAAAAATGAGAGGTGGCACTTGGTGATGTGGTGTGGTGGGATTCGCTCAAAGACTGGACTTGGAGATTTTTCCACCCTTAATAATTCTGTAATGATTACTCCAGTAAAGGAAGATTCTTATAGTGAAAGGTTCCAGATGAAAAAACATCAGCTCTGGATGCACCAAACTTCACTCTTAAATTGTGTGAATTGGAATTGAATTATTGGCCCAAAAAATAACTCTAGAAACCATGAAATGAAAACTGAGCAGATTTAGAAGCTGCCCTGAAGAGCTCTTACATCTCTCCCCTTTGTTTCCCCCTTTGTTTTTCTTGCAGGAAGGATTGTGATGTTCGTTATTAAACCCCAGCACACCCCCTGCTAGGTTTGTTTGTTTGTATAAAAGATTGATGTTGAAATAAGCCGTGAGGATGCTGCCTGCAGTGAGCTCCACGAGCAGCTTGGGCTGGTGAAGATACAGGACAAAGGGAAAAAATGGGGAAAAATCAGCAGAGTTTCTTTTCTTACAGAATCCCAGAATGGTTTGGGTTGGAAGGAGCCTCAAAGCTGATCCAGTGCCACCCCTTCATTACCTGACTCAGAGATATCATCCCAAAACGGAGACTCGAACTCGTAGTAGCCTTCCTTGATCTTCTCAAAGAGTTTGGATTCGGTTTCCTCGTAGAAAGGAGGGTACCCACAGAGCCTGGGGCAGAGCAGAGACACAGGAGCCCTTCAGTGCCAGCCCAGAGTGGGCACAGGTTCCTCCATACCCATCCCAGAGTGGGCACAGGCTCCTCCAGACACACGCAGGAGTGACAGAGGGGACAAGGTGTCACAAGGGTGCTCTGTCCCCTCCCTGTCCCTCCCTGCTCAGGGCATCAGCAAAGCTGCACAAAAGAGTTAAAAACTCCCCTGCAGCAGCAGCAGCAGTGAGAGGACAAAGCCACAGCTGGCACCGAGCTGAGAGTGTGGGAGGAAACGAAACAAAAAGTCCCCGGGAAGATGGAATGGTTTTTGTAGGGAACTGGAGAAAAACAAAGCAGAGGATGAGGCACAGGCAGAGCAAATGGGATTCCTGTCATCTCCTCTCCAGAGCTCGATTCCCCACATCCCTTTAATTTCTGGGTTTGGGAGGAATTCGGTGCTGTGCTCCACAGAGAAAGGGGAGGTCTGGGGGAGCTCCCAGACCCAGGGAAAAGGAAAAGGAAAAGGAGCGAGTTCCCAAACCCAGGACAAAGGAAAAGGAGCAGCTGCTGCTGCCCTCTGGCACTCACAGGATGTAGGTGATGACCCCGATGGACCAGCAATCCACGGCTTTGCTGTAGGGCTTCTGGGCCAGCACCTCGGGGGCTGCAGGACAGCAAAGCAAAGGCAGCTCTGAGCAATAATGGGTTATCCAGCACTGGGGGCAGCAGCAGTCACAGCCAGGGACAGCCCCATCTCCCAGCTGAATTGTCTGCGGCTTTTGGGTCTTTTTCATGCCATTTTACAGAAAGAACCACAGACAGTCTCTGCCTGCATGCTGAGGTTTAACCACAGAGCTGATCCAGCCAGTGCAGTCTGGTGGGAATTAAATAAAATCCCATTGCATTAAAATAATTTTTATAATTTTTTCAATAGATACGTTGCCCTTAAAAATTACCATTTTCTTTGCATTTTTAAAACACTGAGATTTTTCAGTCCCTACACTGATCTATAGAGTCTGTGCAGTGCCTCTGTGAGTCCCATGTTGTTACCAACACACTGATGTATTTCTTTCCCTCTTCCAGACATTGCCTGGATGTGCACAACCCCTTCTCCAGGAGCTCCACCAGCACAAACCCAGCCTGCCCCTGGCTCACCCACGTATCCTGGGGTCCCACAGGCCGTGGACATGATCCCGTTCTGCTCCATCTTTGACAGGCCAAAATCCGTGATCATGATTTTGGAGTTCTCCTCAGGAGTGAGGTACAGCAGGTTCTCAGGCTGGGGACACATTTGGGGCAGGAAAATGGAAAAGAGGAGTGTGGTTACCAAGTGTTGAGGTGGTGTTGTGAGAGTCCTCAGGATGAGGTGAGAGATGAGAATTGACTCTGAGTTCTCAGCAGGCTGATTTATTATTTTATAATATTACATTAAAAGAAAATTATATACTAAAACTATATTAAAAAAAGAAAAAAAATCAGAAAGCTAAAAAAAAAAAGATAATAAAAAACTTATGACTGACCAGAGTCCCAACACAACTAAACCAGAATTAATCATTAATTAAAAACAATTCACATAAAACCAATCAAAAAATACACCTGTTGGTAAGCAACCTCCAAACCACCATCAAATAATTATTGTTTACATTTCCTTTCTGAGGCTTCCCAGGAGAAAAATCCTGGCAAAGGGATTTTTTAATAAAATGTGGCAGTGACAGAGGAGCAAAGGGGGTGGAGCAGGGCAGGTGAGAGGTGGGGCAGAGCACAGGTGGGACAGGCAGGGCTCACCTTGAGGTCCCGGTGCACGATGCCATTCTCATGCAGGTATTTCACGGCTGTCAGCACCTGGTGGATCACCAGGCTCGCGTCCTTCTCGGTGTACACTCCCCGCTCCAGGATCCTGTCAAACAGCTCTCCCCCAGACACCCTGTGCAGAGAAAAGGACTGAATAAACACAACCAGAGCTTTTGTGTGAGCTCAGCTGAGTTCTGCTCCTCCCTCAGCAGTTTTTGGGAGGCTGAGGCTGATGGAACTCCTGGGTGCAATGCCAGGCTGCCAGAGGGCATTGCTGGCACACCTGGGCACTCTGGGGAGCTTTAAGGCAAGTCCTGCTGGGGCTGGTGTCACAGACATCTTTTATGGAAAATCCTTTCCTTAGGGTTTTTCCTCCTGAGAAGCTGGGAGGCCTCAGGAACAGAATGTAATCAATGGTTATCTGCTGCTGTGGAATGCAACAGGTGCATCTGTGATTGGTCTCATGTGGTTGTTTCTAATTAATGGCCAATCACAGTCTCGGACACAGAGCCAAGCCACAAGCTTTTGTTATCATTCCTTCTTATTCTATTCTTAGCCAGCCTTCTGATGAAATCCTTTCTTCTATTCTTTCAGTGTGGTTTTAATGTAATATATATAATAAAATAATAAATCAGCCTTCTGAACCATGGAGTCAGATCCTCGTCTCTTCCCTCATCCTCAGACCCTCTGAACACGGGCACAGGGATGGTACCCCGGTACCCAGCCCTGCCTCAGGCTCCCCGCACCAGTGGCCAAGGGTTAGCTCTGTACTGAACCTGCAGTCAAGCAGCAGCAGCATCAGGAGGGTGCTCAGAGCTGTTCCTGCTGCTGACACGGTGCCCATTCCATTTCTAGAAACCCTGCATGGCACAGCTTTAATTAGAAATTCTTCTGTCTCTGCCCCGCTAAACTGTCAGGAATTGATTTGCATAAATAGATCCAAATCAGGGTTCAGAAAGTCACTGTTGGGATGGGGATGGGCCAAGGGGGCACAAGGAATGTCCAGGTTGGTGCTGACATCCCACTCATCCCCTGCTCCTGCCCTGTCCCTCTGTGTGCCCCAAAAATGGCTCTGCTGGTACTCACAGCTGCATGACCAGGTAGAAGTGGGTTGTGCTCTCATAAATATCCTCCAGAGTCACAATGTTTTCATGCTTTATCCTGCAAAGGGAAATGTGGGTCAGAAACAAATCCTGGCAAGGGCAGAGGGGGGAAAAGCCAGCAGTCACCTTGCTTTAATCACCAGGGAAAGCTCACTGGGGCTCTGGGGCTGCTGTCCCTGCCCTGCATGGTGCAGGATCACTGATGTCCATCCAATTCCTTTTGGGGCACCAGGCACCAGCAATGGGGGCCAGAGCCTTTAAATACAGCCCCCAGCACAGCAGGAACGCTCCTTGGGCTGTCACACTCACTTTTTCAGCACTGCTATTTCATTCTCCAGGCTGCTGTCCCTGTTGAGAGGAGACTTCTTGATGCATTTCAGAGCAAAGAGCTGGCCAGTGCTCTTCTGCTTCACCAGGAAAACTTCTGAGAAGGCGCCTCTGCAGAGAGGGGGAGAGGCTGCATTTCAGGGGCACGGGAGGGGCTGACAGAGAGGGGAAACAGCACACAAAACAATGTGCTGGGACTTCATGTGGGTGCTGATTCTAAAGCTGGGGCTGTACTGGAGCAGCCCCAAACTCAGGGTGCTCAAGGCAAGGTTATGCAATGAGAATCAAACCCCACAATTTTTTCTGCACAGAAAATGTTCATTCTGCACAGCCCAGGAGGGAGCTGCAGTTTGGGCTGTGCCACCCAACGTTCTGCAGTTCCAACATGCAAAGCAGCAGGAGAATTCCAGTTAATCTTTAATTCAGCCTTGTTCTGCTGCTGCTGTCCCCGTGTCCCCTTGGGGACAAAGTGACAGTGAGGGTCTGCCCCCCCAGCAGCATCAGGTATTTATAACCTGCCTAAAACCCCAATCCAGCTTTGTCCTGGGGCTGAGCACGAGGCTGGGGCAGTGACAGTGACACTGGGCCAGTCCCCACTAATCCTCATCAAACCTTAATGATGCAGCTCCTTAATTGGGACTTGCTGGGAGGCTCAGGGCAAGGAAGGGCAGTGCTGTGGAGCCTGGGGGAAAGTGAAAACAACTTTGAGGTGGTTTTAAGTCCCAGATCTTCATTTCAATTCTTCAGAGAGCTGGAGCGATGCACGTGGGAAAAATCCCAATTTCTAATGTTAAATTCTCCTATTAAAGCAATAGTAGGAAATGAACAACCTACAAATCAGCTGCTGGGGCATCTGTTCTACATCTCTGTCCCAAACAGTTTATAATAATTATGCTCCTTATTAAAAATGATGAATCAACAAGTGGGCTAGGAGAGAACAAAGCTTTTTCTAACCTCATTCCCTCAGCAAAAGCTGCTGGATAATTCAATTAATCTCTGAGGCTGACAAGGCTCAGAATTTGGAGGAGCTGCTTCTTTGGGAGCTTTTTCGTGGGCTCAGAAGTCACAGAGAATTTGTCCATGACAGAACTTGCTGGTGGAGGTAATTCAATTCCTCCCCCACAACCTTGGGAATGTTTTGATGTCTCATGCCCATGAATAGGCAAATGAAGCTGTTAACGCACAGGGAGGGATTGTACAACTCCAACATCCTTGTTTTTGTTTCATTCCCCAACTGAGTCAGGGCTCCTGAGCTAAATATACAACTTGTTATTGTCGTGCTCTGCCGTGCCAGCCCTGACCTTGCAGCAGGAGTGGGCAAAAACCTGCCCTGAAAGAGAGGGTCCCTGCGGGCAGGGGGATGCAGGGAGGGCAGGGGCACCTGGAGGGTGGGCAAGGGGCACCTGGAGCTGTGCCTGGGGCTGGGGGCTCTGCTGCTCTTTGGAAAGGGTGAATCAGGAGTGGGAGCAGCAGCAGCAGCACCTTGGGCACCCCTCACCTGCTCCTGGCCTGGGACACTGGCCAGGGCCAGGAGGGACCCAGGGACACTGAGGAGAGACCCAGGACAGACCCAGGGACACTGAGCAGGGCTAGGAGAGTCTGGGAACATTGGCCAGGGCCGGGATGGACCCAGGGACACTGAGGAGAGACCCAGGACAGACCCAGGGACACTGAGCAGGGCCAGGAGAGACCCAGGGACACTGAGCAGGGCCAGGAGGGTCTGGGGACATTGGCCAGGGCCGGGATGGACCCAGGGACACTGAGCAGGACCAGTTGGGCCTGGGGAACCAGGGCTGGGGCTGCTCCTGCCCAGGGACACAGGGACAGCCGCTCCTGCGGGTACTCACGAGCCCAGGGCCTCCATGAAGATGAAGGTTTTGCGGATGTTGCTCGTCTGCTTCTTCCAGGAGCCGCTGCCTTCCTCCTCCTTGCGCCCCATCTCCTCCAGAGTGGAAGCAGGAACGCTGTGAGGAAGAGGAGGAGAGGTCACTGGCACAGTCTGTGTTTGCAGGGAGCCCAGGACCCCCCAGTCACAGCTGGGGTCAGAGCTGGCCAAGGCCTGGGGGCTGTAAAATGCTCCCCAAACCCCAAATCCCATCATGGGATCAGGTCTGGGGACTGGAGGGACACTGGAACCTGAGACAGGGACCTGGAGACAGGGAAAAATCAATATAAAAGTGATCTTGGGCAGCAGAGAGCATCCCTGGGAGTGTGGGGAGCATCCCTGGGCATGTGCAGCATCCCTGGGCATGGGGAGCATCCCATGCAGGGCAGGAGGGGAGCCAAGGGCAGTGGGATGCAGCTGAACCTTCGGAAGACAAAGCAAAGCTCTCCTGGATGTTTTTTACCCCGTTTGGAAAAGGCAGAAGTATTCAAGCACAGAAGAAGCTCAAAGGTTTTTTTTCATGAGAGGCTGCTTGGATATTGGATTCCTCCTGAACCTACTTTATCTCCTTAATTAGCACGTTTGCAGGGTGTTCAGCTCCTTGACACAATTTTTAAAGGTTAATTTAACATTATTGAAACCGAAATTGACTCAATTGTAAACAGCTGAAGCTTTCAGTCCATGAAATCACCGAAGGCCTCATGAACTTGACCTTTATTTACCTCTGGGTTCCTGATGCCTGTGGAACTCACAGAAATCAGCTCCTTCCAGAGCCCAGCCTGATCCTGCTGTCTGAAACCTGGGAAGGTGAAAAGTCCTTCACAAAAACGCTGATCAATCAGTAGAAAACTTTCTGCCAATTATTTTAAGTCCCTAAATAACTTTTTCTTTGCAGTCATCTGCCCATCCCAAACCTACAGATCTGGAATATCACAGAAAGAGAATTTGCAGGCAGAGACATTGAGCTGGTGATGGCCAGGTGAGTTTTATCCACTCTAAACAAATATCAGAGCTGGCAGGGTGCTGTCAGTGACAGGGAAACTGAGAGGAGCTCCCATTGCTCTCCCTGGCTGCTGCCAACCACAGAATATGAGGTGAAAAAGGAGAATAAAATCCCCAAGTAGGTCAGGCTGGCCCTGGGGACGAGTGGCATTTTGGGCTGTGTGCTGGAGCCTGTCCTGGTTGGGAGCAGCTGATGGGACAGAGGGAACGGGGCAGGGAGACCCTGCTGGCCTGGCAGAGGTGGCAGTGACAGTGCCAGCCCTGGGACAGGGGGCATGGACACTCACTGCTGAGATTTGGCCCACCAAAGCCAGGGGTTCAATCCTTGACAGTGCCAGCCCTGGGACAGGGGGCATGGACACTCACTGCTGAGATTTGGCCCACCAAAGCCAGGGGTTCAATCCTGGCTCATTTCAGCTCCATTCCCGGAGTATTTTGATGTTTAATTCATTGTGAATTCAACAAGTTCCCTGTTTTAAAAGGACTTTGGGCCTGGGGACAGATCCCAGTCCTGGGATGCACACAGAGGGCACCCAGGGGCACCCGGAATCCACATGATTTTAAGGAATTATTTAAATAATTCACATGATTTTAACCCCTGATCCCACGAGGGGCTGTGGTGCCCTTGTGCCCATTCACCTCCTGGCACTGCAAGCACTCCGGTGTGCCAGGGTTGCATAATGAGATCGAAAAGCTCATTAACCCATGCAGGTGAGACCTTCTAGAGCTGAGGGGGCAAAGCTCATCAATCCATGCAGGTGGGACCCTCTGGGGCTGAGGGTGAAGAGCAGAACTCAGCTGTGCTTTGTGGAGCTTCCCCTTGCCCACCATAACAACAAACACAGCAACAAGCATGGCTGCACCTGGGTTTGCATCCTGGACAGAGGATAACAAACAAGTGTGGTATCAGAAGACAATAACCAAGTGTGGTATCAGAAGATAACAACCAAGAGTGATATCAGAAGATAACAACCAAGAGTGATATCAGAAGATAATAACCAAGTGTGATATCAGTGTCTGACCTCTGGGCTCTCCTCCAGCCTGAGCCAAGCCCTGCTCTGCTCTGCCTGATCCAGCTCGACCCTGCTCAGGGTGCAAGGGCGGTTCTGATGACCTTGCTTAAATCATTCCTGAGCAAATCTGTTCTGCTCCCCCATCCCACAGCCACAAACCCATCTGCAGGCAGCCCCTGCCCCTGGATGATGCTCTGCATGAGCAGAACGATTGTAAGTCATGATTAATGGTCTCGTGACAAACTTCCATGGGCAGGGGGAGCAGACATGCAGCTTGCAGGGCTTTGCCTTTGCAATTAGAAGTTTATGGGGAAAAAGGGGAATGCAAATTCAAAGGGCTTTGATTTTTAAAAGAAATACAGCAAAGCAAGCAAATCTGCATGTGAATGAACAAATGAATGAATGAGTGAATGAATGAAGTGCCAGGGCAGCCGCCGTGTTCAGGGACAAAAGAACAAGAAATCGAAGCCACGAGCTCGCCATTAAAAACAAACCCACGTCAGGGCTCTGGATCCCCCCTCCACAGCATCCATTCCAACTTGGGGAACACTCAAAAATCTCCATTTTCATGGGAAATATCCCAGATTCTTACAATACTCTGGATGGAAAATGTCAGAGACAGCTTTCTATGAAATCACCGAACACAACACGAGTGCTGGAGCATCCTACAGAGGAGCAGCCCTCTGGTGTTATTTCCCTGCTACAAGATAAACCCAAATTCAATCAAAGTAGGCGAGCAGGGACCCCACCTGCTTCACCGAGAGAGCAGGAACGGCAAACGGCTCGTAAGGAAAGGAAATTGTGCTTACCCAGGTCAGCACAGATAGAGCTGCTCCTGCCGGCTGCTCCGCTCGGCGCCGTCTGCGGGGATTAGAGCGGGAGGAGGAGGAGGAGGAGGAGATGGAGCCGAGATGGTAACCAGCGAGTCACCAGGGGCACGGGGACAGTGCTGCAGGGCTGGGGTCCAGTGCCACCAGGCTCAGAGCTGAGATCCCAGTGCCACCAGGCTCAGGGCTGGACTGGGATCTGTCCCCAGAGTGCCACCAGGCTCAGAGCTGAGATCCCAGTGCCACCAGGCTCAGGGCTGGACTGGGATCTGTCCCCAGTGCCACCAGGCTCAGGGCTGGGGCTGGGTGTGCAGCAGCCACTCCTGCTGGCACTGAGACATCCCCAATGCAAATCCAGGCTCCCTTCCTCACCCAAACAACTCCTCAGGGCTTGGAAACCGCCCCCACTGCCTTGGCACGGGCTGGCACTCCTGTGGTACTGCCCTGGCATGGGCTGGCATTCCTCTGGCACTGCCCTGGCAAGGGCTGGCACTCCTGTGGTACAGCCTGGCACTCCTGTGGTACTGCCCTGGCATGGGCTGGCACTCCTGTGGTACTGCCCTGGCATTCCTCTGGCACTGCCCTGGTAAGGGCTGGCACTCCTGTGGCACTGCCCTGGCACTCCTGTGGCACTGCCCTGGCTGTCCCAGCAGCAGCTCCAGCCTGGGCAGGAGATGCTCCTCACCATCCCTGAATGCACAAACCCCAAAGAACAATCACTGGGCAGAGGTTAATCGCCATGCCCCAAATTTGGGGCTGTTTTACCCCAAAGAATGCCTCTATTCTGAATTTCAGATCCTCCCTGTGAGTGCCTGCCCAAGCACAGCACATCTGAATAGAGGAAATATTAATAATTCTTTGGATCTTTTCAGTGCTGTGGGATTTTTAGAGCTGGCAATAACAACTTTACTGACTGCATCCTCAGTTGATTCACACTGCCATCTAGAATAATGCATGGAAAAAGTCCATATCATTGTGGAGTTTAGTTTTATGGCAGGGATAAATCAGCTCTGGGGCAATACTTGAAAATCCCATTCTTTTTCTGGGTATATTTTCTCTCAGGAGCTTGGTTCCAAGGCAAAGGCTCTGGGGTGTTGTTCCTTTGCTGCTCGGGCTCCATCCCAGGGATTTTGGTCAGGATTCCTGGATGTGGCTCTGAACAGCAGCTTCCCTTTAGGACAAGGTTTGGGAGGAATTTCCATGGAATTTACCTTGAAAGGCACTGAAGGCCTCACCTGTGCAGTGAGGGGGAGACACCAGAGCCAGAGGGGTGGGAGAGGCTTTATTAAGGGGTTAATTTGGTTTATTAGGGGCGTTAATTTTGTTTAGTAGGGGGGCTTATTTGGTTTCTTCAAGGGATATTTTAGGGGAATTTATTTGGGTTTATTTAGGGGGATTTATTAGGGGTGTTTATTTAGAGGAGGTTTTTTGGGGGAGTTTATTAGAAGGGTTTATTAGGGTTTTTTCAGGGGGGTTATTAGGGGTGGTTTTAGGGGGTTTATTAGGGGATTTGTTGGGGGGTTTATCAGAGGAGTTTATTAAGGGGGGTTATCTGTTTTTTTCTGGGGGAGGTTTATTAGGATTTTTTTGGGGGGTTTATTAGGGGTGAGTTTTGGGGGAGTTATTAGGGTTTTGGGGGATTATTAGGGTTTTTTGGGGGGGGGTTATTAGAGTGTTCCCAGCCGTCCTGGGATGGTTTGGAGGAGCTCGAGGCAGAGCTGAGGAACACGAAGAGAAGCCCTGATGTGCCAGCCTCAGATGAAGTTGAGAGACCTCAGGAACAAAATGCGAACAGTGGTTATCTGCTGCTGTGGAATGCAACAGGCGCATCTGGGATTGGTCTCATGTGGTTGTTTCAAATTAATGGCCAATCACAGTCAGGTGGCTCAGGCTCTCTGTCCAAGCCACAAACCTTTGATATCATTCTTTTTCTATTCTTAGCTTAGCCAGCCTTCTGAT